CACGGGCTCCTTTACCACCGCTTGCTTCAAGGCCTCGATTGCTTCTTAGCACCGATCTGACCACTCCCACACCTTGTTCTTCTTCAAAAGATCCGTTAAGGGTGCTGCAATGTTGGAGTAGCCCTTGATAAACCTCCGATAGTATTTTGCAAGGCCGATGAATGACCGCAACTCTGGCACCTTCGTAGGCGGCTCCCATTCTTGGATTGCCGCCACCTTCGCCCCATCCTTCTTCAACTTGCCTCCACCAATGATGTGCCCCAAGAATGGAACCTCTGTGGCTGCAAATGTGCACTTCTCCCTCTTGACGTACAACTCGTTGTCGCGAAGGACTTGGAAGACTTGGCGTAGGTGCTCATCATGCTTATCGAGTGTTTTGCTGTACACTAGGATGTCATCCAAGTCGACCACGACAAACCGGTCCAAGAATGGCTCGAACACTTGATTCATCAAAGTGCAAAACATGGCTGGTGCGTTGGTGAGACCGAATGGCATCACAAGAAACTCATAAGAGCCATACCTTGTCACACAAGCCGTCATTGGCTCGTCGCCCTCTGCTATCCGCACTTGATAGTAGCCCGAGCGAAGATCAAGCTTGGTGAACCACATCGCATCTCCAATCTGGTCGAATAAGTCGGCAATGTTGGGAATCAACAACTTGTTTTTCACCGTCAACTTGTTGATGGCTCTATAGTCTATGCACATATGCAATGACCCTTACTTCTTCTTTTGGAACAACACAGGTTCTCCAAAAGGTGACTTCGATGGCCGCATATAGCCTGCGTCCACCAAGTCCTTGAGCTGCCTCCGCAACTCTTCTAACTCCGGTGGCGCCATGCGGTATGGTGCTCGCGAAGGGGGCTTCGCTCCTGGCTCCAACTCGATCTTGTGGTCCACCTCTCTTCTTTGTGATAGCTTCTTGGGAAACTACGATGGCATCACGTCATCGAACTCTTCGAGGATGCCTTCGATGATGGGAGTTGTGATTCCCGTTGAGCCTCCTTCTTCCTCCATCTTCAAGGACACAAGAAATGTTGGTTCATTCTTCTTGAACCCCTTCAATACCTGCACAACGGACAGAGCACTATGGGGGCCATCTTCTCTCAAGAGATGGACCGCATGGAACTCTCCTTCCTTCTCCAAGCACATAATGTTGGAGTTGGGCTTCAAGAGCACGCCCTCCTTGTCGAGGATGACTGGGTGTTTGTCCATGGTGACGACGGAAAAGTCGATGAGGCCTTCCCACTCGCCAAGCTTCACTGGAACATTGTGAGCAACTCCATGGTTTGGGATGGACTCCGAGTTGATCGTCTTGAGCCTCCCTTGCCCCTTCTCGTAGGCAATACCCAGCCGGTCTGCCTTCTCGATGCGAAGGAAGTTGTCCGTGTCACCGGTATCCACCAAGGCTTTTGATTCACCTTGCATGAATTGCGCCAGGATGTAGCACCTCCAACGCTTGCTCTCCTTGACGTCGGTCTTCACCGCGCCAAGCTTGAGGATTGAGCCAATCTTTGCCTCCGCTGCCTTGGGCTCTTCATCTTGAGCTTCCATGGCCGCTAACCTCGTCTTTCTTGGGCAATCTCGCACTCGATGTGGTCCATCGCAAAGGAAACAAGATACGGGTTTTGGTTCGTACTTACCTCCTTTGCTTGAACCACCTTGTTGTTTTTGAGTGCGAGAACCATCCTTGAAAGGCTGTCGCGGTCCTCCACCCTTGTTGGGCTTTGAACTCTTCTCCTTGGTGTTGCTCTCTTGCCTGTTGTACTCAACAAAAGACTCCGCTGTGGCCATGGCAGTTGCAAGGTCTTGCACTCCTTGACGTTGCATCTCCATGTTGGCCCATGGTTGTAGCCCATCAAAATAGACGTGCATGGCCTCCTTGTCTGTGATGTACGGGATCTCTAGAAGCAGCTCCGAGAATTTTTTCACATATTCTCGAACTCCACCCCTCTGGTGAGTTTTCTCAACTTCGGATGGGCTTCAAACTCCACGTTCTCCGGATAGAAGTGCTTCTTGATTTCTCTGTTGAAATATTCCCACTTTACCATCACCCACGTACCTCTTTCGACGTGCGCTTCACGTCGCCTCCACCACACCATGACAACATCGACCAAGTAAAGTGGAGCGGTACGAAGTTTTACCTCATCCTCTTGGATGCTGGATGCCTTGAAGTACTGCTCAAGACTCCAAAGGAAGTTCTTTAACTCCCTCGCATTCCTTGAACCTCCAAAGTTCTTCGGTCTTAGAACATCAGCACGTGGGACAGATTGCACCGAGGCTGGTCCGCTAGCCATGGCTCTCTTCACGAGAGTGACCTCACTCTTGAGGTCTGCAATCTCCTCCTTCACGTCGACCAGCTCAGCCTGGACATGCTCTTTCACAACTTCAATGGCATTGTTCATGGACTCGGAGATGGTGTTGGTGATGAGAGCCACAAGCTCTTCTCGCAGCCCATCATGCCCGATCTCTAAGCTCGACAACCGAGCATTCATCCCTCGAGCATCGCTTTGGACTTGGGCGAAGTTAGCTCCCAAATCCTTGATGGCGGTGACATCTTCGGAAAGTTTCACCTCCATTCTAGAGACTCACCTCTCTAGAGATTTGAGAGGATCACGAGTGCTCGACATACCTTTTTCCCTCGAGCCCGGGGTGGGATCTTTTCCACGTTGCTTCTCAGCCTCGGTAACGCCGCTATCTGATCCCGACATTTTTTGTGAGGCTCTTCATTTTCGTCTGGATATTGCTCCTTCTTTGGTAGCGCAAAGCCGAACCGGGCTCTGATACACTTGTCACGACCTTACTCTCGATCGTGCGGCCCTAGCTCTCAATTCCGTTAGAGCTCTAGGCAGCCTTCTCTCAAACTTGCAAGCAAGCAAAGAAACAAGGAAGCAATACAAACAAGTGGGGGAACTCTCTAGTCTGTATTACTCCCAAAAATGATGGAATGAGTTACAAGTGAGGGAGATGGCTCCTTATATAGGCCTCTCATCATACAAGGCATCAATGCCCCTCATAATGGTCCCTCTACATCAATACACCCATTACGTCCCCCATAATGCACCCTAGTAATGCCACCCATAATGTGGTCCATAAGTGCTCCATTAAGCTCTCTATTAAGGTGGAGAATCCTAGGAGCATCTCTATGCTACTAGTCTTCCATACACACCACATGTGCAACCTCCATGTTGTCACTTTTTTGGCGACATGTCATCTGCCACATGTGACAGTAGGCACAAGAAGAACTCGAGACAGCTTCAGTTGAGGACTCAATTGCATGGACCCTATGCATGCTACTGGTCCACTCGAACCATCCGGAATGCGAACAGGTAAATGTGACTCAGTTGTGTTCAGCTCATCTAACCAACGAGAATCATGCGCAATGTGCTCATTGCACCCTGAATCAATGACCCATTCAAAAGGTTCCGGGGATTTACGAGCCATATGTGCGGTAGGTTCCGAGGTCGCAGGTGCAGGAACTAACATTAGCTGCTTTAGTTGAGCAAATTTCGCCGCCAACAATCCTGGAATTGGACTCTCCTCAGCTTCAATGTTCGCTGCACGGGGTTGTTTCCCATCTCCGTTGTTCCGGCGTCCGTCATTACCTCGGTCTCCCGTACGACTCTTGTTTTGAAACAGCTATCCTTAGTGTGACCTTTCTTGTTGCAGTGACTGCAACAGACAAGTTCTTCCTCGTATTCCCTTTCTCGGCGTGTCTGAAAAGCAACTGCTTCAACCGGTGGCTGACGACCACTTATGATATGGTGTTGTTGCTCCTCTGCCGTGACGAGTTGGTATTCCTCCGCTAGTGAGGGCGTAGGCTTGATACTCAATATTTGGGATCGAATGACTGAGAAGGCATCATCCAGTCCTAATAAGAAATCAAAAAGATGTTATGTCTCTTCCTTTTCCCTTGTCTGGCGTCCCACGTCACAAGAACAGTTTCCACAGGTGCATCGTGGATTTATCGTGACGGAGTAAAGCTCAACCTAGAAAGTTATCAGCTTCGTATAGGAGGCTGACACGAACTGCTCTTCTTTCCGCAACGATCCTATTGCCCTGTGGAGCTCGTAAGCTCTCCCTGCCGAACTTTTTCCGAATCTTTGCTGGAGATCCGCCCAGATATCTCGCGCTGTCCTAGCCGCACGAACACTATTTCTTACCTCTTTACTCATGGTTGTCTTCATCCATCCCTTCACTGTAGCATCACACCTTCCCCACGCATCATCCCGGACTCTCGGGCCTGCCTTGGATCAAGGAAAGACAAGCTTATTCTTCGCGATTAGGGTTTCAGTCATATCATTCACCCATTCACCATAGTTTGAATCGGTCAAGAGATCACTCCCAAATAATTGGCCTGGATTCTCAGACGGATGTAGATAGAGAGGCGAGGTCAGCGAGATAACATCAACGTCAGTGACGACGGTCTTGCTGCCAGAACCTCCATCTTCTTCGATAGTCATAGCTGAAACTCTTTTGTTTAGTTGAACTCGAAACTATTGGTTGCCTACGTACCCGAGTAGTCGGGATCAAAGTCCACGTAGTTCGATTAAATTGAGAGGTTTTAAAATGTGATCCTAACACGTTCTATTGATCATTATTAAGAAGGTAAATTGAGTTGCTAGAAAGTGTATTTATGATGTTTCAGTTTAGTGATTGCATTTTATATTATTTTTGAAAGAATTTCATCGATAACGACCGTCATGATTTATCGACCGAGATTTCATATTAAGGGAAATTTCTATGTAAACAAGTACATATATGAAAAATAGAAGCCCAAACGAGGGTATTAATTAAATTCATTAATATTTTGAAATATTTAGATTTAATCATAATTTGGTGAAAACAATAAGTCTTAACACGATTTGTAGATATGAGTTTTTGTGTATTCAGCTTAATTACTAATATAATTAAACGAAATAAATAGGATGAGAGTAAGTACTAGCCTAAGTGGTCAATTGTCAAAAAAAGTGAAGGCATTTTGAACATTTTTTTTTTCTTGTAGATTTTTGGGTTTCGATTTCTGATATGCTTTCTTTATTCAAATTTTTTAGATTTTAGGATGGTGGATAGAGATGGGAAAAAGGGTCGCCGCCAGCAATCTCGCATCTCATCGGTGACGATAGCAACGGGGATAAGGGAACAGAGAATGAATTTCTCGATTCAGGTTTTTTTTAAGATTTCAGAAATGCTAGGTGATTTCCTCTTATAGCTACAAAAACGGATTTTTGAAAGTGGAGAATGGATTTGAAATTGATTTGCTCTTAGTCAATTTGTGGGGCTTTTAAGAGGGCACGGTTTTGGGTTTGTATGGGTTGCTGTGATGGTGAGGGATTTTGTTTGGTGGTTTTGGTATTTTGGGATTAATGATTGGTTTATTCCATTTGGTTTAATTTGAATGATCTAGATGTTGGTGTTTTGAGTGTTTGATTCTAGAAATGGATAGTGTTTGTCTTTTATGATGGGTTTGAAATTTGAGGACTTTTCTTGGCTGGGAATTGTTCATTGTTTTCTGTTTTATTATGTTTGTTAAATCTGAGTTTGACATTAGCTTGTTATGATATATGTGGTAGAATACAATAAACAGAGTGTTTAAGGCGTGAAGAAAAAGAAAAGAAAAGTAAATATCGAAAATACAGATCTAGATGAAATAGATGTAGACAAAGATGAAATGAACTCAATTATGGAAATGTTAAAGTGAAATGGATGAAATGTATGTAGGCAAAAAGTAGGAAACCTCAAAAGGAAAGCAATGAATATGGTTTTGTTGATTGCTTTGTTGTTATGTGAAATATGTCATTTTGTATTTTGCTTGGAGTGGATTGAGTTTCATTCCTTATAACATTATTAAGGTCAGATTGTAATTTGACTGAGATTGATTTAGTTTGGTGCCCTTTTAAATCAACTTGGTCATCTTGTAGTTTGATTGGGATTGATTGAGTTTTGGTTTTGGAAAGAACTCATAATGAGATGGTTTAAATATGATTTTTGTTGGTTTTAGTTGGCTACCAACCTTTAAACTTGTAGTTTGATGATGTTTCTGACCCTCCTATGTCGTTTCCTTTGTTTTTTTTTTTGCTGATGTTGACGGCAGTGGTAGGATTCTTGTGGTGAGGGATCTTTTAATCCCTTTCGGGCTTTATTTTGATTCTGTTTGTATTATGGTTTCGAGTAAGAGGTGGAAGAAGAAGATAGAAGGAGGAAAAGGAAGGAAGCCAGTGTCAGTTTGAAAAAGGGTGCTAAGGAATTTTCTTGTATGTCAGTATATTCTTTTCTATTTGGAACATATGACATCCGTCCCCTTCCCAAGAGCTGAATGGGTCTTTTTATAGTAAAAAACTGCAGAGGTGGCACATTGTAATTGGCTTTGAGGGTATGGAGGAGCCGGTCTATAGTGGTAAGTAGGTTGTGGATTGGGTTAGATCGAACCGGCTTGGTTCCGATGGTATGGATCAGGTCGGTTAAGCCGGGTTCAACAGGTTTGATTGAATTAGAACATATGACTTTGGGTATGACTTCTAAAGTTTACTTTTTGAGCTAATTGACTTGGGCTTGACTTTTGAATTGGGCTTAGGCTGCGGGCTTTGACTTGTGGCCTAATGTATTACAAATTGTTGTTTATTAAGATTAAGTGTAGGGGTTATTTATTCTAATTGTGTATTATTTGTTCATTGTGATTGTCTATTGGCAATGCTTATTGTAATGCAATTACTCAAATAGTTTTTATTTTATTGTTCCAAAAATGATGCTCAAGCCAATGAAGTTGAAAGTCAATTTTTGGCAACTCAAGTTAGCTATTGCTAAACATAACATCCAAAGTTAAATAACACAACCAGTGAGAAAAAGCAAATTGTATCTATGGAATATAACAATTGTACATGTTTTAAACGTTAATCACATAAAAAGATGTTTACGAATGATTACTGCCAATTCAAAACAAACCAAGTACTCTCTTAGCAGTTGATAGAATTAGTAAAGCACCCAGACAAAATGTGGTGTCTACAGTTGTCCACCTTTGTATGTCCCTTTGTATAAAGAGATATACAAAGTTGTTTGAGAGAGACACACATTTTGAATGTGAAAAAGGTAGGAATATAAATTATGGTAGTTCAATGTATTCAACATGTTTTTGATGTCGACGAAACAAGTTTGGCATGAGGTCCAATTTGCTCGTGATAGTCGACGAAGCAAATTGACTAGGTTTTCTAAATTGACCGTGATAGTCGACAGAACAAGTTTAGCAGGGGGTCTAATTTGCTCGTGAAAGTCGACGAAGCAAATTAACTAGGTTTTCTAAATTTTCTGTGATAGTCGACGGAACAAGTTTAGAAGGGGGTCTAATTTGCTCATGATATTCGACGAAGCAAATTGACTAGGTTTTCTGGATTTCCTGTGATAGTCGACGAAACAAGTTTAGCAGGGGTTCTAATTTGCTTGTGATAGTCGATGAAGCAAATTGACTATGTTTTCTAAATTGCCCGCGATAGTCGACGGAACAAGTTTAACAGGGGTTCTAATTTGCTCATGATATTCGACGAAGCAAATTGACTAGGTTTTCTGGATTTCCTGTGATAGTCGACGAAACAAGTTTAGCAGGGGTTCTAATTTGCTTGTGATAGTCGATGAAGCAAATTGACTATGTTTTCTAAATTGCCCGCGATAGTCGACGGAACAAGTTTAACAGGGGGTCTAATTTGCTCGTGATAGTCAATGAAGCAAATTGACTAGGTTTTCTAAATTGTCCGTGATAATTGACGAAACAAGTTTAGCAGGGTGTCTAATTTGCTCGTGATAGTCGACGAAGAAAATTGACTAGGTTTTCTAAATTTCCCGTGATAGCCGACGGAACAAGTTAGAAGGGAGTGTAATTTGATTGTGATAGTTGACGAAGTAAATTGACTAGGTTTTCTAAATTTCCCTTGATAGCCGACGTAACAAGTTTAGCAGGGGGTCTAATTTTCTCATGATAGTCGACGAAGCAAATTGACTAGGTTTTCTAAATTCTCGTGATAGTCGACGAAACAAGTTTAGTAGGGGGTCTAATTTGCTCGTGATAGTTGACGAAGAAAATTGACAAGGTTTTCTAAATTGCCCGTGATAGTAGACAAAACAAATTTAGCAGGGGGGTCTAATTTGCTCGTGATAGTCGACGAAGCAAATTGACTAGGTTTTCTAATTTTCCCATGATAGCCGACGGAACAAGTTTAGCATAGGGTCTAATTTGTTTGTAATATTCGACGAAGCAAATTGACTAGGTTTTCTAAATTTCCCATGATAGCCGACGAAACAAGTTTAGAAGGAGGGTGTAATTAGCTCGTGATAGTCGAAGAAACAAATTGACTAGATTTTTGTAAATTTCCCGTGATAGTCGACGGAACAAGTTTAGCAGAGGGTCTAATTTGCTCGTGATAGTCGACGAAGCAAATTGACTAGGTTTTCTAAATTACGCGTGATAGCCGACGAAACAAGTTTAGCAGGGGGTCTAATTTAGTCGTGATAGTCGACGAAGAAAATTGACTAGGATTTCTAAATTGCCCATGATAGCCGGCGGAACAAGTTTAGTAGGGTTCTAATTTGCTCATGATATTCGACGAAGCAAATGGACTAGGTTTTATAAGTTGCCCGTGATAGACGACGGAACAATTTTATCAGGGAGAACAAGCTGGAGGGTATAACAGGTTAACATTTGATGATTATAATGGAATAGGGTTGTCCAGGATGTGACATGCAGGACACTTCAATGCCTGATGATGCAAGTAGTGCGTGTGAGAATATTTTGTGAGGTAATCATAGGATGAGTGATGTTAATGAATAATAATGTTGTGTTTATGAGAGGTATTTGAAGGAAAAGTATGATATGGTTATGTGATTTACATGAGGAATTGAAACAAACAATCGGTAGAGTCTAGACAGATCTTAGGTATGTGCAAAATTTGATATTTGCAATTGGCTTCACATTTATGGGCAAATGCAAGGTATTTTGTGATATGATGCATTGAGGTATGTTGATGGGAAGGTATGCCCACTAATAGATATAATTTTTCGTTCAATATTTTTTAACTAATCATCTAATGAATGATGTCATGTGATATGTTTGACGAGTATGCATTTATGATGAGTTATATGATGTATGCAAGGGGAAAAGTACGATCGATTCATGGTTTTGATATTTTTTTATTTGTGATGTATTCTTTTAAATTGACCATCCACAAGGAATTACTTCATTTAACTTTGTAGTGAGCTTGACTTTTACTTGTGCTCACATTGGAGTAGCATAGGTGTCACGGTGGGTACTTTCTTCCCTTTGACGTATGTCATGATATCGAGGTACTGGGTTTGCCATATAGTATTTCCTCTTTGTCTCTTTAGTGAGGCCAAGGCATGTTATTTTGGGGACAAATATAAGGTTGGTCCTCTGCTTTCTCCACCTTGGACATCGGTGCTTGAGTGGTTGATGTGTTAGCCATATGATCTTCTTATTCCGACTTATGCTTGATAGGTTGATTTTGTAGGAGGCTTTTGTAGAATGGTGGCCTAGTGATAATGTGCTTTTTTAGTTTGATTGATATTCTTGTTATGCGAGCATGTTGTGCTTAGCTAAGAGGAATTTTTCATCTCGGGGTATTGTCTTGTTGATGTCGGTTTTCTAGACATGCTTGATTGATTTCACCGAGAGGTATGAGGTACAAAATATTTCGTTGAAGGATAGTTTGATTGATAGGTTGGGTAGCTTGAACAAAATGATTCAAGATTCCAAAGATTTCCCGTCTAATCATGATTTAAGGGGTTTGGATAACCACTTTCTTCTTTTTTTCTGAGTGGCACTATCTTGCCCCTGAGAATATGTTGTTTGCCTTCCATTCTTCGGAACAAAGTGCAACTTTTACCAATCTTGATTTAAGAAGATTGCAAACAATGTTTGAAAAATCTCGTTTGAAAAAGTATAATGGGAATCTGATTTTAGAAATCAAAGTCTCGCTTGAGGGAAGTATGTGTAATTTGAGAAAAATGATTTCTTGTGTGGTTATTGCCACATTGTTTAAATAAAATTATAAGACAAGCCATGAGAATATCCATAAGCCCTCGCTTTCTTTCTGAGTCTCACGCTCAATTTTACTCTCACTCATTCCTATGGGTGCTTCGAGTTCATGATACTTCAGCTACTATCAAGATTCTTGTCACCAAGTTGATGGAC